CCACAGGCCAAACCAAACAACCTGAATAGTAATAAACACGAAGTTCTGGGCTTGAGATGGTCTGAAAGCCACGACGAGCAGGGGGACAGACACGCAGCTCGGACTGAGGGCCGCTCAGACACTCTTGTCAGATTTGCTGGTCCAAAAAATAATAAAAGTAACAAGCAGACTTCTGCTTCCAGGAAGAAGCTTAGACATATTTTTTTCCTATTCCTCTAAGTACAACTAACACCCTGGACACTAGATATTTTAAAAATATGAGAAGACTCTGGAAGGTGGAGAGAAGAGGGCAGACCAACTACAGGCCTCGGGGTCTCAGAATGACATGCAGCAGAGCTCCTGGGGTCTCTGTTGGCCTCAGGCATCCTACAGCAGAGCTGAGGAAGCCAGCAGCCAGAAAGGCTTAAAAAGTCCACCAAAAGCCTGCTCTCTCTAGCCATGGGACCAGGAAAGGGGCAGCCTAACAAGGCAGAAATCAATAGTAGAGTTGCCAATAACCACCCTACTCCAGCCAAATACCACAGAAAACACTGTGGCCCTCACCCCCACTGTGCCAGGCAGAAATGAGGCACTCCAGCACCCCAGTGCATAGTGTCCAGAGAAGACCAAATAGAAACGTCCATCCCTGCAGGCCACACCCCAGTGGTGTCAGAGGATGGATGTACGGAACAACTAAGCACAGCAAGAGGCATTCCACCTCATTAGCCAGTACGGAAATGCTGATTAAATCACAATGCACTATTAACTATACACCTACTAAATGGCTTAAAATAAGAAACAGTGACAACACCAAATGCTGGAGAGGATGTGGAGAAACTAGCTCACATTGTTGGTGGGCATGTAAAATCATACAGCCACTCTGCCAAACAGTTTGTTGGGCAATTTCTTAAAGAACCAAACATGCAGCTACCGTAAGACCCAGCAATTTCATGCCTGGGCATTTATCCCAAAGAAATGAAGACTTGTGTTCACACAAAAACCTGTCCATGAATGTTCATAGCAGCTTTACCTGCAATCGCCAAAAACTGGAAACAACTCAGGTGTCCTTTAGTGGTAAATGACTGAACACACCATGGCACACCCATTCCATGGAATATTACTCAAGGAAGAAAAGGCAACAACTATCACACATATAACAACAACCTGGGTGGAGCTCCAGGGAGTTATGTTGAATGAAAAAAGCCCATCCCCAGGTTATATACTGTATGTTCCCATTTATACAGCATTCTTGAGATGATGAAATTACAGAAATGAACAGATCCACGGTTGCCGGGGTTAAAGAAGGGAGTGGGTGTGGTATAAAAAGCAACCCAGGGATCCCTGTCCAGATGGAAACATTCTGGTTCTTGACTGTATCAATGTCAACATCCTGGTTGTGATGTTGTACCACAGTTTCCCAAAACATTACCACTGGTGGAGACTCGGTAGAGAACACAAAGGATCTCTGTATTATTTCAACTCCATGTGAATCTACAATGATCTCAGAAGGCTTAATTAAAAATAAGTAACCACAATCAACTTTCTATATCTTATATGTTTAAACTGGGAAAATAGGGAGTAACTCCAGAACAATGTGGTATTTCTTAAGAACAAGGGCATCTATGGTCTCCCTTGGCACAAATTAAAAGTGTAATCTTATCTTGTTAAAATCATTTGTAGGTAGTGCAAACTCATTAAACATTTGGCCTGCCAAGGAAATATGTGGACACACCTCTGGTGCACATTCCCTAAGAAATCCCAATCAAGTCCTCTCCATACGCCCGAGTCCAAGCAAGCACACATGAGGGTCACAGAGCTCTGTTATCCGGCTGTGACACGTGGCCTGGTACTCGAGCCTGCACAAGAGAGCACCAGAAATGGCAGGACTCATTTCTACACACAACAGTCCTTGAAAAATCAATAAAGCTGCGTTTCGTGTCAGCCACGAGAAGGGAGGATGTCAGAACCACAGGTCCTGCCCTCAGGCGGCACCACCCTTTCTGGGTGGGCCGACCCCAGCAGCCCTGCCCCAACTGCAGGTGCACTCAGGATAGACCCGAAACACGTGCAAGACAAGCCGCCCCCCAGCTCCAGACCCACAGATCCCACTGCCAACCAGACAGGCCCCTTCGGGTCCCACTCCCACATTTAGATGTGTCCTTCTGCGAACGGTCCCCCCACAGGCCAGCTTCACCTCCTCTCCCACGCTCAACCCTCACGTTTGGGCTCCAAATTCTTCCTTTCTTCTCAGAAGTAAATTCAAGCAGCTTTCACTTGAACAAACAGACAAGACCCCTGCTCCCGTGGAGCTTTCATTCAAATGTAGACAGGAAATGAATACTAAATACTACCATAAAGTAAATTACATAGTATGGAGAGTAGTGACTGGTGACAAATCTATGGAAAAAAGAGAGATCAGAAAAAGGAGGTCAGGGTCAACATACCCTTTTCCTCATTGGAAAAGACTGGAAGGACATGGAAAGGAAGGGACGGGCCACAGCCTGAAGCAGGAGCACAGCCGGTGACTGGAGCCAAGTGACCCAGGGGAGAGGCGCCTGGGATGAACCCGGGGAAGCAACAGGCCACACGGTACCATGCAGGCACCGCTAAGAACTTTGCCCTTTCTGCCAAGTGAAACGGGGAGCTGTGGTGCTTTTGAGCAGAAGGCCGACATCTGATTTAGGTTTAAAAAGCATCATTCTTGGGACACTTGGGTGGCTCAGTCGGTTAGCGTCTGCCTTCGGCTCGGGTCGTGATCCCGGGGTCCTGGGATGGAGCCCTGCATTGGGCTCCCTGCTCTGCGGGGAGCCTGCTTCTCCCTCTGCCTGCCGCTCCCCCTGATTGTGCTCGCTCTCTCTCTCGCTCTGACAAATATAAAATCTTTTTTAAAAAAACAAAAATAAAAATAAAAAGCATCATTCTGGTTACTTTATTGAAAACAGAACATAAGCGTCAGGGCAGAAATCAGTACCCTTTGGGGAGGATGCTCAGCAATCCCATCGAGAGAGAAGGGAAGGGGAACGGCTTGCTGCACTCTCAAGTGTCCTGAAGGCAACAGGGTTTCGGGACAGACTGGATGGGGTATGGGACAAAGAGGAGCCAACAACTACCCCCTGAACAGCTGGAGAGATGGAGCTGCCATCCTGGGATGAAGAAGGCTGTGAACAGGACTTGCAGTTGCGGGAGGGGTCTGTAGCTCAATTTTGGACATGCTGAGGTTCAAGTGTCTATCAAAATCTTGACCATGTCCAATGTCTTATCCCATCCATGAGGAACTTCACCTTGCCATCAGCCTGACTGCATTAAAAAAAGAAACGAGAGGCACGCCTGGGTGTCTCAGTTGGTTGAGCGTCTCTTGATTTCGGCTCAGCTCATGATCTCAGGGTTGTGAGATCAAGTCCCACATCGGGCTCCACCCTGAGTGTGGAACCTGCCTAAGATTCTCTCTCTCCCTCCCCACCCCCTTTCTCGCTCTCTCTCTCTGAAAGAAAGAAAGAAAGAAAGAAAGAAAGAAAGAAAGAAAGAAAGAAAGAAAGAAAGAAAGAAAAGAAAAGAAAAGAAAAGAAAAGAAAAGAAAAGAAAAGAAAGAAAGAAAGAAAGAAAAAGAAAGAGAAAGAAAGAAATGAGATCACTCATAAGTTAACAGTGCTGGTGGTAGTTTAAAAAAATTAAGTTTTAGACAGCAATCCCACAATATTTCATCATGCTGAAGATGTTCACACCCGACAATTCTACCCTTAGAAACACACTCTAGAAAAACTCGTGCCCATGTGCCCAGGAAGGCGGGTATAAGAATGGTAGTGCTGTTTATAATGACCAAAGCTGGGAAGACATAGGTCAACAGTGGGACACTCTGGACACTGGACCACTATGTAAGCCACAAACTACCAACCAAGCACTGTGATCCTTCAACAAGGGCTGTACTTGCAAAAACTTCTGAGGTTCGTGCCCCACTCCCCAGAAATTCTGATCTAATTCCAGGAATCAGGAATCAGTCATTTTTTAACCTTGAACCACTTAACTGAAGACAGACGTATCCACACAGATAAATCTTGGAAACACAATGGTGAGTGAGAAAAGCAAGTTGCAGGAGATGTATGATATGACACCATTTACTCAAAACTGTAAACCTGGCCAAATACTCTATGTTGTTTATACCTACATATGGGAGAAGAGAAAGGATTTAAAAAAAATGCAAACAAACGATAAATACCAAACTCAGAACTGGGGTGACTCTGGGGAGGGAGGGCAAGAGGGGTGGGTAGGATCCAGAATACAAAGGACTTCAAGTATATCCATACTGTTTTGTTCTCAGGCTGCGAAGGGTACACAGTTGTTCATCGTGTTACTTTTTGAATGCCTGAAATATTTAATAATTTTTTAAATGTTAAACATTTTGGCATAAAAATATGCTAAAATACCCAAGTCAGAGCTTGAGACACACACCGTATGTCCTGTATTTATAGTTTACAATTTACTGTATGTATATAGATGAAAATACATTTGTGCAGTTATGTACAGTTCGTAGTACTTATAGTTTATAGTCTAGCCTTCAAGAAGGGAATGGGTCAGCCTGAAACCATGCCCGCAGACGGATTCTGCTGGTAACATGGGGGAGCAGCCAGGCAGCCTGAGCGTGGTGTGGTGCTCGAGCACACAGTCACTCACCCACATACTGCCCTCCTTCAGGGGCTCCCCTGGCTGCCGCACGCATACCCAGCTGCGTCTGCTGGCTACCGTGCACTTCATGGCAAACACAAACTGTCCCTGACTTGCCTCTCCAATTTCTCATCCGAGAGTAGATTCCCGCACGCTAAAGAACTGGCTGAGCGTGTGAAAGAAAGTAAGGCTAATGGCTTATGAAGGCAGGAAGGGGGACTGGCTGGACTGCTCAGAAGGAAGCTTTTAGAGACCAACAAAGAAACCTCTCCAACACACCCCTTTCCGTGAATCATTAGGGTGGCAGCCACCGGAAGCCAATATCAAACTGTAGAAACTTCCTTTCTGAGGATTCTCAAAGCACACAGAGATGCACGTCCTGCGGCTGGAGGACAAGCCGGCTCGGTAAGTCTCGGTGAGGGTGCACGGCGTGCGGCAGAGAGGGGCAGGACAGCAGAGCGCTTAGGACAGAGACATCAGAGAGGCACTGGTGCAAATGACCCGCCTCTAGGCCCGGTTTTTTAAGCCCCGAAATGGGTATCAGCGCCTGTCCCTCGGGGTCATCCTGAGGTGGGGGAGGTAGGCCGTGCCTGCGGCTGGCGGCAGGCGCCATCCCCCACTGCCCTGCCGCAGGCCAGCACAGGGCGGGGCGGGCACGGCAGTGCATGGGCACCGCGGACACCCCGCAGCCCGGGTGGGCGTCCGGTCGGCAGCTGCGGGAAGGGCTGTCCAGCACGACTGGGCGAAAATCACTTGTCGCAGTGCTTCAATTCAGGAGCGAGTGCCCCTCCTGAACAGGCCGGCCCCCGGCTCCCGGCTCCACAGCGCTCTCTCGGGGACAGTGGGGTGAAATCTCTCCTGTGACAAAGTTCAGACAATGACAATTCATCGCAGGGAAGTTTATCTGACCTGCAGGCGTTCGGTCTGACCAGGTGGGGACCAAAGATGTTTCTAGCATGTGGGGGAAGTCACATCGCCACGGCTGTGGCTTTAAAAATCCCAGCCTTCCACCTCTAAGAGAAATACAAGACAAAAACCAACCCTTCTAGAGCTGCTTACAATAACCTGCAATTCCTTCCACTCCATTTTAAATCCTTACATTTCAGCTGCTTTCCCCCACGGCTTCACACAGCCTCACTGCCCACCAACACCTGGGACGCTTACCTGCCGCTCTCCCCTCTTGCAGAACATTTTCCAACTGCTCAAAATGGATCAGAACTGAAGTGGCCCAGCAAAAACAAAAGTCGAGTTTTAAAATCGATGTACAAGACCCTGTGGATCACCGAAGGAGGCCAGAGACACCGGAGTAACAAATCAGCACCTCGAAGTTCAGTCACTGACCAAACGAGGAGCAAAGGGACAGTGTCCGGGCAGGATTAGGAACCTGGAAATACCGTGCTAAATATAGCTCCCCAGCCTGCGGGACTCGGAAAGGTGGCCAAGAATAAGTATCTGGCGCGTTTGGTAATTTCTGTCACTTCCTGTTACTCACATCCTGCTGTTCTGATGTGGCCCAAAACCCTGGATTCGCCACACACAGATCCCTACCTTGAAGCCCCGAGACCCGGACTATTCAAAACAGCTGGGATGTGCGTCGGCAACAGACTTCCTCACGGAGGGCGATACCAAACACAAAAATAGCTCCGTACAAACGAGGAGATCCCTGGGCGAAAGCAGCCCCAGAATGCAAGGTCAGGCCTCCCCAGGCCCCCTGTAGCATGCGGCCCAACCCCCAAAGGCACCCAGGGCTCTTCTCTCTAAAGCTGTGCTTATCTCCAATCTCCGGACAGCTTTGAAGGCCAAAGGGGATCCCCACCCTCGCAATGATCCCACCTGCCCAGTGGCCCAGAGCACACAGGATAAGCACCCTCCGACCCACCCCACCTCCCAACCCTCCCGAGGAGACCAGTCCCCAAGAACACAGGACACTCAGGTAGGAGGCAAAGCCAACTGGGCCAGAGGCCAAAATCACATGTAATCCATCAGAGGACAGATTTTTAAAAAGGGAGAAAAAGCAGGATGAAGCAAAAATGGAAAAGTTATGCCTAAAACTGAAATGTGACAAAAATATTTGGGGTTATTCATCTATTCAATATTTCTACAGTGCCTTATTAAGCTTTAAAATGTGCTCAACGTGTGGAAAAACTCAGAGATTAGAGGTGGCCCTGAACAGGGTGCTGGAGGCAGACAGCCCCTGGTAGGGGAAGGAGAGGGATGCCAACAAAGAGCACCCCAGGTGTGGAGGTGCCCCACCCCACATCTCCCCCGACAGCAGGCAGGAAACGAGAAGCTGACACACACAGAAGGCAAAACACCATGTGCCTCCCACAGCAAAGTGCTATAAATAACCTAAATCTCCAAAGCACACAATGGAATACCATACAGCCAAGTGTTCAAGTGCAATGCGAGCATGTATTCATGGACACAGATGTTCATGATATAATGCATTATTTTATGTTCATTTTTTTTTTTTTTTATGTAGGCTCCATACCCAACGTGGAGCCCAACACAGGTTTTGAACTCACAACCCTGAGATCATGACCTGAGCTGAGATCAAGAGTCAGGCGCTCAACTGACTAAGCCACCCAGGTGCCCCCATAATATAACACATTTTAAAAGCAGGTTACAAATTAGTACGTATAAATGGTCCCACTGTTATACTATTTACTGGTATTCATAGGAAAACACCTACAAAACTATTTGCCTATATCAGAGTTTTTCAACCTCGGCACTACTGACATTTTCAGCCAAGTAATTCCTTGCTGTCCCCTACAACACGATAGGATGTTGAGCGGCATTCCTGGACACAAAGCATGGACCCCACCCACTCCAGCCCCCACATATCAACCCAAAGTGTCTCCAACTGCCAAATGTCCTCTGTCCAAGTGGCAAATCCCACCTTCCCATCCCCGTCCCCGTTCTCTCCCATGTTTGAGAACCACAGGTCTCTATAATAGTGTCTCTGTCTAGGATCTCAGAGATAAGACTTTTGAGTGTTTTTTACATGTTCTTTGTATAAAAAACTGAGTAACACACCAATCTTAGCATGAATAAAACATTACAGGTGTTTTGCTATAATGCAGTTTTTGAGTTGCTGCAAAGTTTCACATTCAGAATGAAAATAAGCAGTCTCATGGGAAAGGATGAGCTGGGGCAGACACTCAAAACCCTTGCAACTTTGTAACCAAGCGTTTGAAACAACAGCAATAAAAGTACACATTTTTAAAGTACGTAAGGAAATACTACAGTGAATACAGAACTTTACCTTTTATTTTTTATATTTATATTTTATATATTTTATTTACTTATTTATTTTATATGTTTATATTTTATTAAAGATTATTTGAGAGAGAGAGTGGGGGGCAGAGGTGCAGAGGGAGAGGGAAAGAGAAAATCTCAAGCAGACTCCCTGCTGATCCCAGAGCCCGAGATGTGAGCTCGATCTCACAATCCCAAGATCATGACCTGAGATGAAATCAAGAGTCGGACACGCATCCGACTGAGCCACCCAGGCACCCCAGAACTTTACCTTTTAAAAAAGTGAAGCAGCTTGATGGATGGGAGTCTGTGGCTGAGTTAGACTGGCAAAATGCACAAAGATCTAAGATACAATAAGCAGTTCCCAGGCAGAGCCCAAAGGCCCCAAGGCCAGGGCTGTGCTCCTCCTGGGCTGGCCACGCCCTGGCTAGGGATGGCCCCATTCAGGGGCTGGGCCAGTGCACTTGTGAGAGAAACAGAGCCGCAGAAATGGTTGTGACCGCATCTGCCTCACGGCTACCGCACAGAGAGACAAACTGGCTGCAAGTCGTTAGCTCAAGCACTAGGGTCACTGTTGTCCCGGTGACAATGGAATCTAAATGAAAAGTACCCTGACAGTGGGTCTTGAAGGGATGTGGAGATGGAGGGAGCGTGATGGGAACGCTTCGACGGTCTTAAATGTGGCCGCTTCCACGCTGTCACAATCCATGTGTTTTTCTCTGGGATTATTTGATGCCAAATCTGCACACAGCCAAATCCATCTACAGTAACATTACAGTCAACAAGTATCAGGTAGGAAGAGAAGAGACAGAAGCAGCCTCTACAGCCCAAGGTCACCCATGCACTATTCTGATCACTGAAGGTCAAGCTGGTCAGGCGGTTAAGACTTCCCAGAGCAAAGAACACGTGTATCTGCGGACTTGCCAGGTGTCCGCCCTCAGGACAAAGTCTTGTGCACACCTTGACTGAAGAGCTTATCTCAAGGATGTTTGCACTCCAATAGTTCCAGTGCCTAAGTAAACCAGGGACTAGCTACACAACAGTCGATGCGGCCAGAAAAGAGACAAACACCACACTAGGGGGAAAACAAGGTTTACAAAGAATTTCGGAAAGGGCATATTTACTTCACATTACTGCATAAAACAAAACAAGAGACTGAAAGAGCAGGACACACAGCAAGGAAAACTGGAAGTTGACATCTCAGGTGGTGAGACTGCACGGTTTTTCTCTTTGTCTTTTGGTTTTCTGTATTTTCCATATAGTCTAAAGTAAAAAGTGGGTTTTTTTGTTTGTTTTTTAAGATTTTCTTTATTTATTTGACAGAGAGAGACGGGGAACACAAGGGGGGGGAGTGGGAGAGGGAGAAGCAGGCTTCCCGCCGAGCAGGGAGCCCGATGCGGGGCTCGATCCCAGGACCCTGGGATCATGACCTGAGAGGAAGGCAGACGCTTAACGACTGAGCCACCCAGGCGCCCCAGTAAAAAGTGTTTTAAAATACATCTCTGCCTTTTTCTTTTTCTTTTCTTTTTTAACCTACAAACTCAACATCTGGGACAAAAAAAACACCACCTGCCTATGCAATCAGCATCTTCCCCTTCTACCTTCCAGAATGGCCCTGCTGTTCGGGTAGCCTCCTGCTCAGCCTGGCTACCAGCACATTTTCCCAGCGCCCCTGCAGCTCAGGGACAGCACCAGGGGAGCTCCCAGGAAAGCTCTTTGAAAAGACAGAAGAGCGCAGGAGGCCCCAGCCCCGGCCAGCCTCCTCCCTGCGGCTCCTGCAGCCAGCATCTAGCCCCACGAGGAGACCATCAGAGTGGAGGCTGGGTCTCTGCCGACCTCGGGCCTCCACACCAGCCCCAGACTGCTGGCCCCTGGTCTTTTCGAGGAGAGAGAGAGAAACAAACCTCTACCTTATTTGAACCACCGTTACCTATGTTTCCTGTTCAACATCCCAAATCTAACCTTGAGACACCACCCTCATCATCGCAGACGGAGGCACAGAAATGGAATCTTCTTTCTCTTCCAGGTCAATAACTTGATTTCTCTGTTAACTAGAACTGAAAACTCTCAACTCAAATGGGCAGCAACACCAAGGGAGCTTGATTTAATAGACTAACAGTAAGGTTGAAATAATAACAATGAAAATCAAATCTGAGGACATAACTCTACAGCCTGCCACCTGTTCTTTAAAGAAACTTATGGGAGCCCAGCCATCCCTGTTTATTTACATATTGTCTCTGACTGCTACTTACGGCCAGAGAGACCCTGTAGCTCACAAAGCCTAAAAATATCCTCTGTAGAAGTTTGCTCCTATCTCAGATATATAAACCATTGCTCACATATATCTCAGGAAGAGCATAAAGAGAATTTGATGTGGAGGGGTTAAATGTAACGTGTTACCAAAAAAGACAGAATTTGCACCTTGTCCCTTCTCTCTGTCTCTGGCTCCATGAGGAGGGTCTCCATTCTGTTCCCAGAGGAACCCCCGAGCACCTGGCAGGTAGTACGTGCTCAATGAACTCTCACAGAATTGAACACGCCCCACTTACATGAAGGGTCACTCACTGAGCAATTTAGGGTGAAAACCCTTGTGACCATGGAACATATCACAGTGATGTATCCTTGAGCGTAACTCCCCTCAACACCCTGTCCCCACCTCACGGGGAACATTTCCACGTGGTTTACCCTGCACACTGAGGAGTCCCACGTTCTCCCACTTTCCTGTGATTCAGTCCAGGAGCCAGGCTGTCTGGGAAAAGACCACGCCCCACACTGAGGCCACACGGCGACATGTGTGAGCATGTGCTCAAGTCTTGCTCCTGACAAAGCACGAAGCCAGAAGGAGCAGAATTGGAGGCGGGGGGTCCTGTCCACCTCTTCCCATGTCCCTCATGTCTCTCCCCTCCCGGGCAATCCACCATGCAAGGCAGCCATCTCCTGCCCTCCAGGACTAACTCTGAGGAAAACGGCTTCAGACATTTTACCAACACTATGAAGGTTTCACATCTGATGGTCGTGATGCAAAGCTGGAGGAGGAGGAGGAGGGGACAAAGACGCTGTAAGTGAGCCCTTGCTCTTCACGACTCACAGTTGTCAAGTGGCCCTGCTGAGGTTCAGCCGGAAGCTGAGGTCACAGACTCACACACATGCCTATGACTGGACAACCATGTCAAAGACCCAGCCACTGAGATGAAAAGGAGGGAGGGGGCACTAGACCCCTCTAGATGCCAGGGACCCGAACAGAGTCATGTCCTCTCAGAGATGCCCAGTCCAAATCACACTGTCCTTTCTAATTCCCCGAGTGACTAATGTACTTGGTCCACAGCGGTCATTTGAAAGCAATCCAGGAAAGGATATCTCAGACCACATTCCCAGGAAGG